AAAACATTCATCAAGGGTGTGGCTACTCAAGGAAGGCACAATGCGAATCAATTCTTGAAGACATATCGGCTGTCGTACTCAGATGACGGGACAAATTGGACCATATACAAAAAGAAAGGAATCGTGAAGGTTAGTTTACTTTATTTTAAAAATTTTCATAATTTTTTAAAATCAAATTTTAACAGATTTTACATAGCTTGTTTGCTTGAATTCTTATTTAAGAGTAAACTAGACGATCCATGATCGTGTACTCGGGCTTCTTCTTGCGTGTGAAGTCACGGTATGTTTGTGTTACGAAAATTGCAGCATTCTGTCAACTAGTAGAGCGTGAGAGATAACTGCTTTTCCAATCAGAATGCTTACGAACACAGTCACAGCACAGTAAGATAAATTAAAGCACATAAACTCATTGCAACACATTGTTGCCCGACATTTTCCCCAAATATAACAACATTCCTTGACTATATGCTGTACTTACTGTTTTACTAGCATCAACATGGTGGGTGACAGGACCTGGGTTTTTCTCTATAGCATTTAAAACCTTGTAATTTGCACAGCTGCTTTTATGATCTAAACCCTTATACTCACTATATGGAAAATTACACGAAAACCACCATATGTATTTGAGATATTTATCCCTATATTTATCTGTACTGGAATTGTAAACATGTCTCATTGAAGAGTTAAGTTTTCCTGTTCTAAATATTGGTTTCCTTCTCATTTTTTGTACAAATCTGACACTTGGTTTGTACTGTATACTTCTCTTTTTCGTTGCAATATTTTAAATAAGACAATGAACTAGCTTTCGATGACTTAGGTGTGTTTTTACTTAGTTCTGTTTTTCTGAAAGACACGTTTTAATCTGTTCACTGGTACCCTGCTTGGTTCATGATCGCGTCTAGAGCCATGACTATCACATTCAATATGACAATTATGAAATACATACTTTGCATAACGAGATCTGAATTCTTGTACCTTTAATGACACTAAAACATCATTATGTCCATGTACATTTGTAAAATGGATAACTTTTTTTAGTATGTTACAGACACCAAGAGTATTTACCACGTCTTCTACTAAGCACGTGCGACTCCATATGTAATACAAACCAATGTTCACAATCGCTTGTACGATATAAACAGAAATGTGCAAAATTTGTGCAAAATCAAATCGTATTTTACGACTATTGAATACAGCAAAAACAAACAAATGAATCAGGATATTTAACAACTAAGTTAAACTTAGATATTTACTTTTCAAGTTGCTTCCCTTACTATATTCTTTATCCAATATGGCGAATTGCTTATTGTTGTTTGCTTCACCTTCGAGGTTCTGCTCAAGGAGATTTTCTGTTATTTCAACATCTGAGGTGTTCATTTCAGCGTCATAGTTTTCTGTTGAGTCACTATTCATAGTTTTGGCAGTCTTTTCGAGGTTTGTGCTCGAATATAGCTCATTTGTTACCTCGTGAGAACTAGTATGAATTTGGGTAGTAAGGCGGCTTACATGTTTTCAAAGATTTCAACGCTTTTAAGCTATAAGATTCGTGGACCGACCCGTTCCGAAAAAGCTCTACATCTTTTAGTGTGGGCCTACCACGGATGGCGAGTGCGTTTGTATGTGGGATGATCATATATAGCATAGCACTTTCCAAAGATTTCTTCACGCAACAACTTTATAATCCCACGAACCGAAGCAGAAGGAACGAAGAAAGCAGGGTTAGCATTGATTATTATGCGGTTATGATTCTCATCCCCTGTTCCTAGTGACTCAGCTAGGAACGCCTGGGAACATGACCCCCATTTTGGCGACCAACTACGACGAAAAAGAACGGCCTGCATTTTTAGACTCGGATTCCTGCGGAAGCCCGAGTAACAACATCTAAAGCAATGATAACATCAATTAGTTCTGATGATCATTTTGTTTTTCAGACCTTCCAAGGTAATACTCATCACAAAAGTATCGTCAAGAACCTGCTGTCAGAACCATTCACGGCAAAGTTCGTGCGACTTTTAACGACATCATACTATGGACACCCTTCAATTCGAATGGAACTGTATGGATGCCATGTTTAANATATTTATCTTAGAACATATGCTCTGAAAATCCTTGCATGTCAGATGTGTTGGTATGCACACCTCAGCTGCAGAACTCCTATCAACCATACATCTGTGATTGCCCCGGAAACTGTACAGGTATGTATTCTTTATAATTAATGACGTTTTTTGGAGTTCAAACCCAACAGCGCGTCCACATTAAGACCAGAGAATGGGGTATTACATGGAAATTAATATGTTTTTGTCAAGGGGCTTTTACTGTTAAATCATCCATGCCTTTAAAAAAGAAATATTTTTTGGACAAATGCCAACCTTAAAAAGGTATGGCAGATCTGAGATTTAGACCAAAGAATTTTTAATAGCCTCCAATATTAAATTCACCTCTTATAAATAGTTTTATTCTGTCGCGAGGTTAGCGGTTCAGTATTTTTTTAAGGCATAATCAAAATCATTTTTAAAAACGTATAGAACTATGTGAAGAATATATTATCAAAGACATTTTCATTGGACAGGTAACATTAAGTGCCATGCCCTTGGTATGGAAGATGGTAGGATCCTTGATTCTCAAATAACAGCTTCCAGTGCATTATCTTCTTCTTRGGCAGCTCACAAAGGACGACTGAATAATGCTGCTGGCTCTTGGCTTCCGTCCAGTACGGTCTCTCAGTGGCTGCAGGTTAACTTGCTGAAGAAAACTTTCATCAAGGGTGTGGCTAGTCAAGGAAGGCACGATGCGAATCATTTCATAACGGCATATCAGCTGTCGTACTCAGATGACGGGACAAATTGGACCATCTACAAAGAGAAAAGAATTGTGAAGGTTAGTTTACTTTACATTTAAGTTTTTAATTATTATTTTTAAATTTAATTTGAACATATTTTAAATAGCTTGTTTGCTTTAATTCTTATTTAAGTAAGAAAAGTAAACAACGTCAGAAGCAATATTGATAACAATTTCTAATAAGCATTTTGTTTTTCAGACCTTCCAAGGTAATGCTAATTACGCAACTATCGTCAAGAACCTGCTGACAGAACCATTCACGGCAAAGTTCGTGCGACTTTTAGCGACATCATACTCTGGATATCCTTCTATTCGAATGGAACTGTATGGGTGCCACGCTTAAAGTACATACGTATTGTCGATTGTTGAAAGGACGGCTTTAGTTTTGATTGTAATTGAAAAGAAAAAAGATGGATAGAAAAACATTAACAAACACTAACCCACACGTTTTTCGCATTTCTTTGCCTTATTTAACATTTTATTATATTCTAGGCAAAACAAACCGTCGAGTCGTTAAGTTCACAAACAATCATTTGTTTACAACTTTTATTGAATTTTTTTTTGTCGTTTAAACGAAAAAGTTAGTCCTCACAGCATCAATCACCAGGTAAAAAGAAAACTATGTTCTTGCGATTATCTTAGTGGTAACTTTTTTCTACTTTATATCAATTTGATCATGCCTTATTGGATGTCTTCCCTTTCAGCAAAAACACGCGTCTTTTTGTAGTTCTTCTTATACTTTTGATATTTCATGCGAGCTCCCCTAAACCCTTGAAGTACAGACAAGTAGGCGTGTTAAATATTTGCATATATATGCCACCTGCTTGCAATGGAGTCTTTAAGCAAAAAATAAAGAATTAATTAATGTTGAGGAAATATGTTCGCTAAATAAAAAACACTTAAATATACCATTTTTGCGTTCCAGTTTCACTGAAAAAATCTTGCGCTCGAAAAGCTTAAGTAGACCCCGGCCTCGTGCAGCACGTTGGAATGCAGTTCAATCTGAGGACTAAGCAATTCCAATTCTCAAGAGATTGGAATTATTTTGTTTTGTCCCCCAGATGGAGCTGCTTTGACGTCACATGCAAGGGGACTATAATAGAAACATGCTGGAAGTGGCGCCTTCCAACGCATTTCCATACCATGACGTTAGAAATGACATGGAAATATCATGGAAGTGAGAACTGCCATACCATGGAAGTCATGAAAGTGCACGCACATTTTTTCACCAATGGTTTCCATGGTATGGTAATAGCATGGAAGTCACCACTTCTAACATGTTTTCATACCATGAAATTCCGAAGTCGGGAGGTGATGGAAACATCATTGTAGTGATTTCAACAGTATATGGAAAAACTTTGGAAGTTTTGGAAGTCGCGACTTTCAACATATTTCCATACCCTGGAAATATGAAGGAGGTTGACATCGGGATACAGTGTTAAAATTTTAAGGTCTCTTGTCGCGGTTTTAATTTTATAAAAATAAAGGGTTTCCACAGAAAAAAATCTTTACTCCAACTGAATCAAAAATTATCAAAGCCAATTGATTCCACGACGTACCTGTGTCTCAGGTTGCACTTCGCTTGCATAACGACGACAAAATTAATTTGTTTTCATGATTGTTCCTAATAGAAAATAGAAACGTCTAGAATATAATACTGTGAATCCAGATTTAGTAAAAGCTCTAGTCAGTCTTCTGCTCCCAGACAGTTTTTTTTCGATCGATTAACTGTTATTATTAATAAGGCCCTCTGCCCTTGGGTGTACGGATTACGCAGGATTGAGTTCTAGCCGAAGCATCAGGGAAGAGACTCGCGCCCTGACCATATCTACAGATAATCCCTTTCACAACCTGCCAAGCACTGATACGTTGATTTGAAGTGGAAAAATAATCTAGTCTATCTAGTTCTTTGTTGTCATGGCTATTGTTGTGTAATTGTTCTGAAATCGTGGCCCAGTGGAAAAAGCTTGGGCTCACAAGACAGTGAGTGAAGCAAGTTTGAGGGAGTTTTGTAACTGGAAGGGTGACCTGAAATTAATAGTTACTCAACTCTGTTTCTTTTATTTTTGATATAGAAATAGCAAAATATATTTATGCATGAAGAGGATAAACTTCATGTCTTCAAGCCAACGCGAATCGCCTACGCGCGACGGGCGCGAGCGTGTTGTATATGACAGTTGTAGGCTAAAATCGTACCGTCTAAACCAGCCTTAAGACTAGAGTATTTTGAAAGGAAATCCATCTATTATTTCCACTAAAATATAGAATGCTTCGGGGAAAAAAAAAGAAACAGGGGTGTAAAGTTTTGAAGATTTGATCTTTCATCTATATTGCCAAAAATTGGAAGCTATTAATATTAAATAAATGCATTTCAAATTATAAACGAATATGCAAATTTCTTTCAAAAATTTCGAAAATACTTTGTAATGTTAAATAAACACATCTCAAAAGTTCATTAGTCTCACAGCAGCTGTCGTGATGGAAGCAACAGCACTAATTCAGGTACTCCAACTCTTCTATTTCTTTTTCGTCCTGTTCGAGATTACGACTTGTACGATGGATGTTTCCCTACGTGTGGGCAAACAAGGCCCATTCACGTATGGCAACTTCCATAAAAGAATCAACGGGTCGGTTTTGAGAAAGACAGGCTCGCTTATCTCGGCACTCGAGGTTAACAGCGACATAGAATGTGCGAGTTCCTGCGTGATGAACAAATTATGTTTGTCAGTAAATTTTGGAGCCGAGGCAAATAGTACTGGGAAAGTACTGTGTGAACTACTGAACTATGGAGGAACAGACTATCGGAACTTCCTTATCAAAAAGGATAACTTCTTTTTCATGCGAATGGAGGTAGGTTAAATGAGTAATTAAATATTAATTCATATTTTTGGAGGTCACAAAACTCCGGATAACGAGTTGTAAGTTGAGATAATTCCAATAACAACAATCAAAAA